ACCCACGAGATTATATCGAAACTAATCAATGACTAATCGATGAATGAACATTTTGTGGCTTATCGATTATTCATCGATCATTCATTGAATATCTGATAAAATCAATGACTAATCAACTGATTACCCATCGATTACCTATTGATTACTCATTGATTTCATTGATGTCATTAATATCATCGATTATTTACGTCTGGTGTTTGAAATCATTACAGTAAAACCCCACGTCTACGAACGCGGATTTTTCCAAGTTACCCGAAACAGGTTCTTATATAAATGGTACTTAGCACAAGTTTAGGCTATTTAGGTTCTTGAATAGGTTCTTATTTTCTGAAAAAAAAGTACCATATAGCTAAGAGTATTTAGTGGTTCAGCTTATTCCTCATATAAAATCTGCACATCAAATCAGACGTTATGTAAAAGTGACCATAAAATTAAGGCCTGGTTCAGACGACGTACTTTTCATGTGGCCAACCTAACTGAATAAGTTCGACTTTGGAGCGACACTGGCACGACATCTGATTCAGAGGACGCACCGTGTGTCGAACCTAAGTTAAGTTCGACAAAAGTTCGACACACTCTGTCGAACTTAACGCTTTTGCCGCACCAAGCTAAAACTGCCGTACCAAATTGATTCAGACGCCGCTCTTTTGCCGTACTTAATTGATCAGTTAGGTTTGGCACATGAGTGGAGCGGCGTCTGAACCGGGCCTAAGAACTAGAGCATTGACCTCATTGACTGAATTGGCATTTAAATTGCAGTTGGAGTGATAAGGCACCTATTCCCTTAAAAGAGGATGCTGAATATTGACTTATTTAATATTTGCCCAAGTATACAGAATTTTTTCATAGATTTTAGAAAATAAGAACAGGTATCGGCGCTAGCGCTTTTGCTTTTAATAAATACCCCCATAAACCGTACATTTTCTGGAAGCTTAATAGTTCCACTGGATTATTGCTTATTTCCGTTTAGAAAATCAAAATATTAACGCGATTCAGAAATGAGAAGCTTTTTGTGAAAGTGGGTGTCACTGTAAATTTAAGTCCAGGCCAGCCAAAAATAAACGGAAGAAGCCAGTTAAGATGGCATTCTCTTCTTAACACGTTTGACTATAAAATCGTGTCTCAGATTTTGTCAAGTGGGTTTATTCTTTTATTATAAGCAGTTGAAGTCAGGGATAGCAAATCATTAGCACTACCTGTGAAAAAATACTGTTACTCGAAAACGAAAAAAGAAATCAAAATTCACAGACATGGTTTTTGAAAAAACCTATCTGACATTAAGTTGGCCAAATTTCAGCCAAATTGGTTCACTTGTTGCCGACTTGAAGTTTAAAACGTACCCTCAACTTGCCCTGATTTTCATTTGGAGAAAGCAGGGGAAAAAGATTTTTGGCTGCGTATTACCCGTGACAAGATTATAGCAGGTTATAACACCAAATCTGTCAATGTTGATGCATTCCAAAAAAGGGACAACAATAGTGACACAGCAAGAAAAGGTTACGAAGGAAACCCGACGACAAATGAACAATTTATTTCAAAGGCTCTGCTCTGTTCGATCCCTCTGTTGTCGAGAAAGCATCTTTAGTTATTTGCGACGGGCAGTTTCCATTTTGAGCCAAGCCAACTTTTACTCCATACATTTTCTAAAAGTTCGACACTTCCCTGGAAAAAATCGACAACAAACCGCTTCCTGGAGTTTTTCTTGAAGCTGCTCTCGCGCTACAGTAGACTTTCAAACAAGTCCTTAGTCAATTTTTATATGCCGCGGGACCCGTCGCGAATTTGTCGCTCGCTTGGCCGCTTCGCAGCCTAAAAAGCTCGCTCCGCTCGCTAAGAAACTCGTGAAATTCGATTTCGATTTTCCTGGAATCTTTTTTAAAAGAAAGCTCTTGATGAGCTCTACTCAATCATCTAAAAATTTAAAATTTTGAAAAATGATGATTTTTTACGCTGGATGATACCTTAACTGGCAAATTTTAGCCTAACAGGTTCTTAAAATCCAGGTTCTTGGTCGCGGGGTTTTACTGTATTCCTCTATTGGGTAAAATAAATCTTGATTCAAACCATAACATCGTGATTTGAAATCCTCAATTGCTGATTTAGAACATGCCTCTTATCATTTCAAATAAAGTATCACAAGTTTGATAAACCATGATTTAGGTGAAGATATAATTTAATTTCATATCTGACCAAGGCAGGTAGTGTTAGAGATAGTTGAAGCTAAAAGTGCATAAACAACTGGAAATGGCGCGGCGAGCTCCACCAAGGACTGGTCGTAAAGAAAGTATTGCAGACCTTGTAAAGGATTTAGAGCTTCTCCATGTGGACAGTAAACATTATGGGGAGACAAAGGAAAGCATGGCAAAAGCTCGAGACCTAAGGATCGAAGAACTGAAAAAAAGTAATGGAACTTTACTGGAGGTATGCTTTTCCTATGTTCATAAAACGTTCACTTCTTACCGTAAACACTTTCAAATTTCGTAGTTTAGCCTGGATAATTCGGGCTCCCGGTCAGTTGTTTCCTTGATACTAAGGTTGTACAGTGACAAGTCTTCACAAACTAGCACTCTTTTTGATCGTATTCGTTACAGCCTTGTGGATCGACTTATCCTGAACTTGTTATTAATTATTGTATTTAAGACAATAATCAGTTATCCACCTGAATATCTGAGAGACCTATTCAGGTTAAAAGACAACATCAAAAACCTGAGAGGGGTTGAAAAGCTGCAAGTACCGCGACCTAATACGACTCGTTATGGCAAGAACTCAGTAAAGTACTTGGCGGCTATTACTGACTTGGAACAAGATTTCTGATACCTTAAGATCTCTAAGTACATTGTCAGCTTTTAAAAAAGCAGTCCATCAGCTAAGGTTCTAGCTACTTCTCAATAATATCTATATTCTATTATATAATTAGGTTTTTTTATTGTAAATAGCTGCCTCACGTAATATAAGTTTTTGGATTTCCCTCTCTTTCTCTATTGTTTTATTTATTTGTTTCTTTTTTTTCTCGGCTTATTAGCATATTTTTGCTAGAGGTCTAGCCAACCTCATCAAACCCGAGATTAAATAAAGCTTTATTCTTCATTCATTCATTCACGTGAGCAAAGCTGGTAAAGTTGACACGGGTGATGAAGTAACTCTATCTGTAAAATTTGCTACAACAACAACAACAACAAAAAACAGGCCCTTAGACTGTGCACGTATCCCTTTTTATTAACGAGGGGTACAATTTCTTGGGAAAATGTTAATGCTACCTGGGATCATTATTTTCCATTTTTCTTGGGTCTGCTTTCACAAACAACAAATTCTTCCAAAAATGCGCTCCCTGTGTTCCTGACTTAACACGAAGTAAGGAAGTAAGGTCATCGTGATAGTATGTCACGCAACGGGCTGGACGTTTGTCCAATCCATAAATCAATTTGTCAGTGATTTTCGTTGACTCTGTATTGAACGGACACGTAGTGTCGGTCTAGAGGTTGTCTGTTCTGAGAGAGTAAGACTGTATCCGTTTTGCTAAACGAGGAGGACAATTTCTTGGGAAAATGTTGCCTAGATGTTATTCATTACCTTATTTGTTCTTATAGGGTTACGACAAGATCGTGAAAGACCTAAAGCAAACTCGTAAGCGACGGCATGTTTTAAAGGACTATTATTCGAAAATAAAGGAAGTTCTTTCCGATACGCAAGGAATCTCCCTGCAAGAAGAGGCCGACTTTGTGAACAGAGCTAAGAAATGCAACAAGGATCTCGAAAACAAGAAATTCACCGTTCTCGTAGCTGGTAAGCTTTCACAGATTTAAGGGTATTATTTTTCCCCTCGTTTGCTCGCGGCTTTGAAGACTCTCACCTTAATAACATTCTATAAATCACAGCGACTTTACATATTCTGTTAATAAACCTTTTACTTTGACAGAGCTCTAACTACGAAATCAATCCCCATGCAACCCAAACAATTTTATGCTAATAATAATAATAATAATAATAATAATAATTTAATATTTATATTGCGCAAAATACATGTAAATATGATCAAATGCGGTAAAGGTGTAAAGCACCTTTCTATAAGACGACAACACTTACTCATATAGAGAATACTTCATGGAAAGTGCTGGCGTACGGTATTTACGCACGAGTTGTTGACGTATCAGAAATCGAACGAGTGAGCGCAGCGAACGAGTAAGATTTCTGATACAAAAACAACGAGTGCGTAAATACCGTACAAAGCACTTTCCATGTGGTATTGTGTTTATTATATACATACTGAGTCATTCATCATTTTGAGGGCCTTTTTATTTTAAATCTTTCAAAAATGCTAAAATTTGCCGCTACACACTTACCGCAAAATGACAACGAAAACGAAGTATCAGCTTTTTAGTAAAAACGTTTGTTAAAAACATAAATGACGGTGAGGATATGAGGTTTAATCCAAGAACTATAAGTAATCTTAACTGTTTGTTCTCAAAGCACAATTGAAAATGAGTGAATTTAAGTAAAATGGCCGGTTTCAATATAAGCATAAGCTTAAATGAAAGGCAAAGTAGCTCCGACAAAAAGCACAACAAAAGCTTACGTCTCGTTCTGTTTATCCCTTTCCGCTGTTGTTTCGCCGGCTCTCTACCGTATTTTTTTATCGACAGTGAAACAAACGAAACTATTCCACTCCATTTCCGAAATGTTTTTCACTTTTTTAGCGAGAAAAACTCCTTGAGTAAAACTTTTCTCGTTGATAAATGTGTGCGAAGCGGCGCTGCAAGCTGCAATAAAAGGCGGGAATTTTGGCGCGAAACTCGCACACCTCTGTGGCTTCTGATTGGACGTATCATTTTTCTCACACGTGAAAAAACATCGTTCGCGATTCTGATTGGACGTATCGTTTTTTTCACGTGTGAAAACCATCGTTCGCTCCTCTGATTGGCTATAACTAATTTGCGTACGAAAATTTACGACATAGCTTTTTGGTGAGTATTTCTCAGTATGTATATAATAAGTAAATTTACTTAACGTTATCTTCAACAGGAGAGACCAGCGCAGGGAAAAGCAGCCTGATAAACCTGTTACTAAATGAACAAGTTCTTCCGACTAGTGTTCTACAAAATACTCTGACTATCTGTGAAATATCTTATGGAGCCAAGCGAGAGGCAGTTATCCATTTTGGTAATAAAGAAAAAACATCTCTTAGGCTGGGGGATATCAAGTCTGACACCTTAAAACAGTACATCCAAAAACCGACCAATGATAAAGATTGGTGTAAAAAAATTGAAATCAAGATACCTAATTCACTGTTGAAGGTAATGTAACAAATAATAGTCAATAGTTATGGATTCAAAATCATTTTGTACGTTTCTGGTTGTTTTTGTATTTGTACAAAGGATAGGTGGTAAGGCTTGTCAACTTCATGAGAACGTAGATAACTGTCTAATTTATTTTTCTCATTTGGACTCGTACGAAGAAGAGCTTTGCTTCCTTGGTGTAACTTCCAGCACTGTTCCAGCTTAATTGAGTATTCAACATGCTCAGCTCCTTCTAAATCTCGTTGCACTCTCTTGCTTTAATCTTTCTGATTCTCTTGTAGGGAGGTGTGGTCATTGTAGACAGTCCGGGGATTGGCGATTCGGAGCAAGTCTGTAACATTGCTTTGGAATTTTTGCCACAAGCCTTTGCCTTTATTTACGTAATCAACAGTCCGAATGCCGGGGGAATGCAAGACGACAGGGTAAGTTGAACATAGCAGTCATTTCTTAGTGACCTGCTCGTTTTAAGAAAGTAGGAAGAAACGTTTTGGAATCCTTTACGCTTATGTCAGCTTTATAAGGAGTCTTAGACGAGCTGGTTCATTGACGACGTTATACCATACCTGCCGGAACAGTTGACAGACCTAAGCGTTTCATTGTGTTTAAACGGAACAGTTGATAGACCGAAGCGTTTCATTTGTGTTTTAAGCAAAACTTTGGTTACCTTCCAGTGAGGCGGGACTGGAAAGGAGAATTTCTGAAAATGAGACGGTATTAAGTTTCGGTTGGATCCTACAGACCGAACGGAGAAACCGCCTTTAGAGTTGATCCTGCGCTTTTCCCGAAGACAGATGGTTTTGCAGAACATTTTGTGGTTATCTTTCCGTGTTTAAAAGTATTACTTACCATTGATAGACCGTAAACTAATAAATACAATGGTTTGGTTATTTATGTTTTTAGCTTATGCGTATTGTGAAGGAATGGAACAAACTCTACAGGGGAGACAAATGCAATGGCCTCACTTCTGAGTCTGCTTTGTTCGTGTGCAACAAGTGGGACGACGTCGAAAGGCAAACAAAGACCAATCTGTCAAACAAAGAAAAAATTAAAAATGAAATCATCTGCAAACTTAAGAAGAAAATCCCTAACCTAAATGAGAAATCCCAGGTAATTGAAATGTCGGTGTTCACTGCAGCCCAAATCCATCAGAAGTTTGGTGTGATGAGTGATGATTTAAGCAGCCTCATAAATGGACTACGACGCCTTCTTCCACTTTGTCTCGAGAAGAAAACCGAGCACTTCTACAGGTAATTTGAATTTCTCAGGAGTGCTTAATGCGAACACCTCTTTGTCGGTATTGCTCGGTTTCCATGTGACATCATCGTACTGTAAAATCAAAACTTGCCAAACCTGAGTTCATTATCTTCAGGCATAAAATCCCCTAAAATCTCTTGAATTTTATCTTTTTATCAATCACACGTCAACAACGTGCGGTCAAAGAAGTAAAGGCGTCTCCTGTCACAGAGCTGTCACGTGAAAAAAAAAAAAACAGTAAAAAGTGATGACTTATCCTTTGATTTGTTCTTCCTGAACAGTCAAATGCGAGATTTGCTCCGTGTTAAGGTACGTGTAGAAATTTGGTGAACAGCTGAAACTACTGACAGCACAGATCGGCAGAGACCTTTTAAAAGAGTTTTGTACTAGTTATTAAGTGGACATGATCACTCACTGAACCCGTGCTAGTGTCTATTACAGAAAATATGAGAAGATATATAAGACTTACGGACGTTACTGTCTAACTGTCTACTGTCTGTTTAACATGGGTTTCTTTTTACGAACAGACTTTACTGTAGTTTAAGCTGAAATTAACTATTTTTTTCACAATTCACCAGGATGAATAGCGGCTGTCTTAAGTCCTTATCGGATCAGGTGAAAGGTGAAATTAACAATGCAAAACGGTCCCGAGAAGATCGATTCAAAGCTCAAAAGGACGTTGAAGTAAAGCTGGAAAAACTCAAAGACGGCGCCTTCATAAAGGAGACTGACAAAGCAATATCTAGGCATGTGAAGAATATTTCCACGCAAGTCAAGTCCTGTTTACAACAGGATGGAGTAAGAAGCGCGTTTTGCACATGGGAAGAAAAGGATCTGCCACAAATCGATGACAGTCAACGAGGGAAAGTGGAGAAATTGAAAAATATTTACAACCAAAGTCTTGAGCAACGGTTCGAAAAAATTTTACAGACCCTGGAAAAGAGGGAACAGCTATTTTCGAAGGCTCACGCTGACCTTGAGCAGAGATTTCGTCAAGGCTTCTTTGAATTTGAGAAAGACGTACGAGACATCGATCAGGTCCTTGTTGGCGAATCTACGGACGAAGTATTATTGCAATTTGAAGACCGTTCTCCCTTGGACTCAAGAGTTAAGAAATTCATTTTCCTGACAAGTGTCGTCTTCATGCCAGTTCTGTTCCCCATTGGTTTGGCTGCAGCTGTTTTATCTGCGCCGGTAATTGGATATTTGGCCGTCGAAAGAATCCTGAACGAAAGGCATTTGAGAAACGATCCCTGCCAAGTGCTAAGAGAATTATCCACGCATTTCCTTCAGAAAAACATTGACGAAGTAATTTTCGACCGAGTTTCGCAAGAATTTACCGATGAGAGGGAACGTATAGATAGTATCAAGAGATGCTATAACGAGCTTCTTGAGAAATATGAGAGGAAATGCAAAGATCTCACCAAATGCGAAGATGAAGAAACACGGAAAGGAACTGTCGAGATGCTTAGTCCTTTGTACACAAAGCTTGAGGATATAAGTCAAAACCTAACCTTTGATGCCATTCAGCATGGTATACGTGTGATGTCCCCTTCCTGCGAAGTCGACAAAAGGACTCTTTATTACGAGACAAGGATCGGGGGAGGCTCTTATGGTGACGTTTACAAGGGAAAGATCAGCCTTCCAGGGAGTGAGAAAGAAGTAGCTGTCAAGAAGCTAAAAGAACCTCCGCAGGCGTCAAACGTTGCCCCCTTCCTCGGAGAAGCAAATATACTGATGTAAGCGAGTTTCGTTCATAGACGAGTTAATTCGCCTAGAATTAAAGTCGATTCGCCTCAGTTGACGACTTTATTCGTAGCTGATTGCCTGGGAAAGGAAGTTTTGGCTGGCTTTGGGAATAAAACGGGGCAAGGGTGAAGGGGCAACCAGGGCTGTCCTTCGTGTTCTCAAACGCGACATGCTACGCTGTCCTTCAACCTCGTTCCCATGGTGCAACTGAATGCCTGCCGCCTAAATTTTGAACTAAGAACCAAAATATAAGTAAGCTTTCTGGGAAAAAGGCAACGTTCGTTCCTTGTAAACGTCGTTGGTAAACCATGTAAAAATCTTCCAGTGTGACTAATGAGTTGTACTTAAATGTGTTCAATGATAAGAGAGTGATCATTACTTGGTTGCTAGGCATGTCGGTGGAGAGGTAATATAATTTTAAAATGTACGTCATATACGTTTATCTCAAAGTTGAGGGAGATTAAAATATTATTTTTTGCAGGAAACTAAAACACACTCATATAGTGGAGTTCTATGGAGTAGTTATGGATGTCCAGGACAACCAGCTGAGATTCTTGGCCCTCGTCTTTGAGTTGTGCAAGGCAAGTCTCAAGAATCACATCTTCAAGAACGAGGAAAATAAACCGTGGAGGACAAACAGCGCAGCCATTATCACATGCCGATGGGGCGTTGAAATTTTAGATGCCCTGGAATTCATTCACAGCAAGAAAATCGTTCATCGGGATCTCAAGCTTGACAATGTTTTAGTAAGTCATTTCAATTACTACATGTTGCAAATTTCTCCCAGTAACCATTCAAACCGTGGACGCAAAGGATTGATCTTCCAGTGTGTAATCTTTTTTTGTGTACTACACTGGGCCCTTTGTTCTAAATCTGATTGGGTAGGTTGTCCATTACTTAATTATATATGTTAAAAGATGTTGATAAAGACGTTCTGTGTTGAATCAAATCTATTTGTTTATTTATTTATTTATTTAAGCTGTACCCGTTCTGTTCAGTGACTTGCCTTTGACGTTTACGGTCAAGCCAGGTCAGGCGTACCCCCCAAGATGCCATTAATAAATTTATTATTCGGAAGTTGAATCCGTTGTTAGTTGTAGATTTCAGATTCATCTCTGCATTTTTGCATGCGCAATAATCCGTGAATTCACACGCGAGGTAGTTACGAAATTTCTAGCAGCTCAGTTTCCCTGATTTCGATGTAAATGTCTTCTGAGAAAGTTAATCAATTCAAAGATTTCCAATCGGACCAAAATACAGAGAAGCTCTCGTAGAACATTTCCTGCTCATTACTCATGCAGAAATGCTGGTTTGAATTTGACACTTGTTATGGGATCGGCTAACGGATTCGTTTTTCAAATAATCAATTCATTAATAGAATCTTGGGGGGTACGCCTGACCTGACTTGACTGTAAAGGTCAAAAGCAAGTCACTGAGCAGAACGAGTATAGCTTAAATAAATAAATAAATAAACAAATAAACAAATAGAGTTGACCGATCTTATTGGACACAGTCCACAGTTAAGGGCACTGGCTTCAAGTTTTCCTGAAAACATTTCGCGAGTTTATCCAGTAGCCTGCACCGGAGACACTTTAAACCGCTGAAATTCAGTCTAAACGATGGGTGAGCCGGTTAAAACGCTGTCCTGCGAAAACAGCCGTTTCTCCTCGCTCTTCGCCGCTGGGGGCGTTTCGCGCAGAGGAACGTCTACGACTAATTAATGTTTACATAATATATCCGGTAGTCATAGGGTTCCACATCCAAATTTGTTCAATTTTACGTTTCTCCTGGTCGATTTTACTAAAGTGTTGTGTTCATCTGTGAACGAGCTGCAGCAGAACTCAAATGCTTCTTCTAGAGAAGAGTATATTCCACCTATTTTGACTGTTTTGTGAGAGATTCATCGCGTTTACATTTGACCTTGATGGTTTTTGTCCTTTTGTCTGTCATTCGTAAACAATAGCTAAAACAATGTAACTACTCCGTCGACCAATCAGCGCTTCTGACCGGATTCCGGAAAGATTTTACGTCGTCAGTATGGAATTTCTGTCGCTGAGTCGCAGACGTTATTCTTCGCGAAACGTCCTTAGCGGCGAAGGATGAGCAGAAAAGGGTGTTTCCCAGGCTTATTAAAACGCAGGCTAGTCGTCCACACGACCGGATTAAACCTTTTAATGACAATTTATCAAATAGCCCCGCCACGAAGCGTCCCCAGCGACTGTGAGTAAGGAGAGGCGGTTGTATTTGCAGGCTATTTGTCAAGTGGTACCAAAAATTCAACCAAACTACTTCGACAAAATGTCAGCTTACGAATTCTTATCACAGACTAATAAAACAGTTTTAACCTTATTTCTTCACCCTTAGCACTTGTCGGATAGACATCACTTTACAGGACTGTAACAACAGGTACATACGCGACGTATTTGAAAGGGAAATAGCTCTTTCCGATCAAATTGTAGAAACCTAAGTAATATTCATTCGTTTCATTCTGCTTAAGTTGCATAAAACTTATTTTGTCTCACCTGCACTTTACACTCATTCACAGATTACCAAGATGGAACATATCAAAGTGGCAGACTTGGGGCTGGCCACCTTTAGAAACCAGATAACGGGAACATATTGTGGCACACCATGGTACATGGCTCCAGAGATACGCGAAAATAAAATCTACGATTCCAAGGTGGACATGTACAGCTTCGGATTGATGATGTGGGAAATGTGGTTTGGTGAGATGGTTCCTTCTGATCCGATCTCCTGGAGTCAAGACAAGGTTACCCGACAAATAGACAAGAGGAAACAACGCGCCGAAGGACGCGGAGACACTCGCCACCCTCCTCCTGCAAAATGGATCGAATTGATGGTGTCCCTTTCGAATGCTGAGCCATGCGTGAGGAAAACGGCCACAGAAAGTAAAGAATTGATGAAGAAGTTAAACACTCCGTGAAGGAGGAATAGCGACTTTAAACTGATAAAACCATCCTCGTTAATATTATCTTTTTTCATGTTCACATTGCGAGTCGTGACGACCATTTTTTCTCAATTTTTGATGCGGTATAGCTTAAGGTCAAACGCGGTAACACTTACAAAAGACGTACCGGATCGTTTTGATCGATTTCCCGGTAGAATTGGCCAGAAAGAATTGGTCTGATTCTTAAAAATGAAATTCTGCCGTCTATAAACCTCTACGAGCATTGGGGGTGTTGCGGGGGAGGGAATGTAGCAGAACGTTTGTAATGCGCTCCTTTCAAATGGAATGAAGAAATCTTCTCGACTATTTCAGCCATGGTAAACTATAAATGGCGTCTTTAGCTTGTATGAAGTTTTGATTTGTGATTGTTAGAGTTAAAAACCTTTCATAAAGGGTAAAAATATTCTCATTCAATTAGCCTTGTTTTTGTCACATTTTTACATACTATTTGAATTTTTGTTCAGTTAACGGGACTATTTTCTAAAAGCCAATAAAAAACAATATTCCACTTTGTTCATTATGCTAACAATATTCGAGCATTTTAGAGGGAAATTCACGGAAAAACATTTTTGCTCAGAAAAAAAAAACCGTTTCACCACAATACAGCTGTGTAAAAGAAACTTTTTTGTTGTGCTATTAAAAATTATAATAAAGTTCAGATATAACGCGCACTATGATTAGTTGAAAGCGCATGGTTTATGAGAGTATAAAACACGGACCTAAAGCTGTCACGCCATCTGTGAATACCACCATGCGGTGGTTTTCAATACCAAAGTCTCGAATTTCAGGGTTAAAAGAAACAAATGGAAAAGGAAAGTTCAAACGAATGTTCAGTTTTCTTTTGTGGATAAGGAAAGCTTTTGGTTACGAAATCGTCTTTTGACGAATTCAACAATGTTTTCTTCATGGCGGAGCACAAAATGTCCTGTTTTGAATTTCATTCACGGCAGGAAAGTTTTGGAAGACTTTTCAAGTACATTTTTTACTCTATTGTCAAGAAAATCACGTTTTTAAAAGGGAATTGTCATGTTAATGACGTCCAGATTTTCATGGGCCGAAATTCGGCCGGTTTTACAACCACTTTTTACCTTCGGAAACTGATTGTACATTTCTTCTGCATTCAAATTCACAGAACGTTTCGCTCGTTTCACTTTGTGATAGCTTTTACGCTTTGGCAGCTTTTGTCTTATTCAACCAATGAATTAGCTAATTCTAAAAGGGATTGTGATTGGCTAATTTAAGCATTAAAAAGCGGGGAAAAAACACTCGACTAAGTCTCGTATTTCCCCCTACACTTCTTCCTTCTACATCTTGCCGATGAGGGGGAAGATCCTAGACGTCTGGCCAATGTTATTAATGACGCTTTTTTGTCACCAATGACCGCTTTCACCCCTCTAGTCACGCCTGATGCACACGCGCGTGCGCGCGCGTGTGCATGCCAACAAGATCTTCCCCGTCCGATATCTGAGTTTTCAATCTTTGAGAAACTATCGGCGCTTAATACGAACAAAGCATCTGGACCTGATGGAATCCCCTCTTGGGTATTAAAAGAAAACGCGGACTTATTGGCTGCACCAGTGGCAGACATCTTGAATTCTTCCTTTTTGGAGCGTCGCCTTCCAACTTCGTGGAAGAAAGCGGACATTACACCCCTCCCGAAGACTTCACTTGTTAGCGATGTGAACAAACACCTGAGACCCATTTCGTTGACTCCAATTCTCTCCAAAGTCGGGGAAGAGTTTGTCGTTGACGGTTACATCAAGCCTGCCGTCCTTGCGAAGATTGACCAGAACCAATATGGAACTGTTCCGAACTCCAGCACAGTGCATGCCCTAATCAGCATGCTCCACAACTGGTATAAGAATACTGACGGCAACGGTTCTACAGTGCGCGTGGTGCTCTTTGACTTTAGGAAAGCATTCGATCTCATCGACCACGCCATTCTTATGGCTAAACTTACTGACTTTGAGCTACCACCTTGGGTGCTGGACGGGATTGCAGATTTTCTTACTGACAGGAAGCAACGAGTGAAACTCGCCCACGATTGCTACTCGGATTGGGGATCTGTCAGGGCAGGTGTCCCGCAGGGAACCAAATTGGGGCCCTGGCTCTTCCTGGTAATGATAAATGACATCAATGTCAATGGCGTCAACCTTTGGAAGTACGTCGATGACACATCGATGGCCGAGACAGTCCACAAGGGCCAACCAAGTGGAATCCAATTTGCTGTAGACGACCTAGTTAGGCAAGCCGAAATAGATAAGTTCCAATTGAATGAGACCAAGTGTAAAGAGTTGCAGATAAGTCTCTCAAGGTCTGTAGATCCTTTCGAAGCAGTTACTATTAACAACAAACCAATTGAGGTTGTAACTAGCGCAAAACTTCTTGGTCTCACAATTTCAAACAATCTAAAGTGGAACGCTCACATAGAGAATGTTATCAAAAAAGGAGCCTCTAGGCTATATCTATTAAGGCAGCTTAAGCGTGCAAAAGGAGATCCTGCGCAGCTACTTTGTTTCTATACTACGTGTATCCGGCCCATGTCTGAATATGCCTGCCAAGTTTTCCACAATGGTCTGCCTGAGTATCTCTCTGAAGAGCTAGAGAAAATTCAGCGCCGTGCACTTAGAATTATTTTCCCAGATTCTGGCTATCAAGAGGCTCTCAAAGAGTGCAATATTTCCACCCTCCATCAACGGCGCCAATGGCTGACAGAGCGCCTATTCAATGAGATTAAGGACAACAGCCTCCACAAATTACATGGCCTTTTGCCGCCACGTAATCTTAGTACTGTAGCCTTAAGGAGAAAGCGCGCTTTTAACGTACCTCTTTGTAGAACAAATAGACTAATGAATAGTTTTATCGTGCATAACGCGGCTATTTTCTAATGGTTTTATTGTAAATTCGCGGCTATTTTCTTAAATTTCATGACGTAGTATCTTTGTTCCTTTGTTTAAATTATTTACTGTTATTGATTTATAATAGTTAGTCTTAGTATTCAACGTATTGTACAGTCCGTAATCCAGCCCTTGGGCTGCAATGGATTTTTAATAAAGCTATCTATCTATCTATCTTCCTAACCTGTGTAGCAGGCGTCGAAAGGGGTAAGGGAATATTGGGACGAAAGGGAAACAGGGAGGGGGATTGGGGAGAGAGGGCAAGGGACGCCTGCTATAAAAACCCCCTTTTGTTTATTTCTGCGAACGCTGGCGTCCGTAAATTCCAACCTTGTTCCCAGGGTTCTCTCCTACCCGCCCCTACAGAGCGAAAGAGAGAGAGAGAGAGACGGGTAGGAGAGAGAACCTGGGAACGAGGTTGCGTAAATTCCTGATTGACTGAGCCGTAAAAAGTAACTTATTGGCGTGTATCCTGGCGTGTATTAGTGAGTTAATCTGCTTTTCACTCAAAAGATCAATTTCAATTAGAAATTAAGTTTCTCAGTATGGAAAACGCTAAGACTTCAGTGCACGCTTTTGTGACTTCTAAGTTAGATAATTGTAACGTACTCTTGTATGGCCCGCCTAAGTATAAGATCCAGCCCCGGCAATACGTCGAAATACGTGTTGACCTCTACCACTAGGCTAGTTACATTGTCTAGGAAGCATGATCACATATCGTCAGTACTAATGGACCTTCCATGGTTGCCAGTTGAGTAGCGCGTAGAAGGTAAGATCTTGTTATTTACATGTGAAGTGGTAAATGGTATGGCACCTGTATATCTCTAGGATCTATTGGACCTATATAGACCTTGCCGTAGCCTTAGATCAGGAAACAAGCAGCTTCTGAGGACACAATCTTATAATTTAAAATCGTACAGGTTCAGGGCATTTTCTATATGTGCCCCTAACTTCGGAATGCCCTTCCACGGGAGCTAAGAGAGTGCGATTCTGTAGTAGTTTTAAAATATTCCTGGAGACGTTTCTTTTCAAAAGGCTTATTGTTGAGTAAAACTAAGACAAACCTTTTTATGAACGTATGTTAGAGATTGGTCCCAATATTTTGAGATTTTATTTAAGTCATTTTTTAAATCTTTTATTTATTAAGGCAATTTTCAATTTTTTTATTAATGTGAAGTGATTGGGGACTCTTAAGGAATAGGCTCCATATAAATAAATTGTTATTGTTATTGACAAACATGATACTGGCATTAAGGAAATGTGTTTTACGGGCATAAGCTTTGGAAGATCAAAATTACTCCAATCATGTAGCAACCTTACGTTAAAACCCGAACTGGAACCAACTGTAATAGCTTGTTTCTGTTGTTTAGCAATCGGAGATGCTCAGGAGGTTTTGTATACTAGATTTGTCCAAACACTGAGGGTGGTTTCGGAAACGAAGACCGAAGCACGAGGCACCCAAATCTCGAAAACGAAGCACCTAAGTCTCGAAACCTGTCTCTCCTTTAAAAGCACGGGAGAGTCCCTTTACAAGTCACCAAATAAAAATGCTAATGCAACAGGAATCAAGCACGATAACGAATAGAATGCAGTTCAAAACTATTCACGTAGAACTGCGAGGTGTTGCAAATGCATTTCCGCCATCCTGGCTAAGGTATGGGTCGCAATCAATTTGTCATCAGTGGACATTGCTAAGTGCGACCGCAAGTTTTCAGGTTGGAAGAAACTTTGAAAATTGGCAAAAACATCAAAGAAACCATCGGTGACATAAAAAGCATGTCTTCAGGCTTCGCCCCACTGGCGCCTTCTCCCTTCTTTCCAATAGCTTAACTCGCCATTTTTTTCTCTCCCTTTATTTTAAAATTATCTTGTTTCCCACCATGGAGCCTAGTCCTAGGCCAGCCTAGTCCCCAGGCGTTTTGGACTCGGTCATTCCTTGACTCTACCATGAGCTGTGACGTCACCAAGAGATACTCGCCCGCTCTCACCCAGGCTTCGCGCGGACAACGGATCAGGAGAGAACGACTAGGGACTAGGCTGGTCCCAGTCTATTACCCGAGAACAAATTCTGCCTGGATCTGATCTGGGTATCACGTAGTGTCATAGATACCCAATATGTCGTCATAAACATGTATGTGTACCGAAAAAATGCATATTAAGATCAGATGTATCAAGTATCGCGATACTAATAATACAGGACTTCCTATCTAGAAACGTTCAGTTAAACAGTTCACGGGCTTAAAATAAAATCTTGGAATAGATTTGTGGACCTTTGGAGGTGCGGACGAATGCGTTGCCTCCACCTGGTTCGGCTTGCGTCATGCAAGACTTAATGTTGTAGTTCTTCAACCTACAGTGGTTTCGAGATTTGGGTGCTTCGTTTTCGAGTCTTGGGTGCCTCGTTTTCGAGATTTGGGCGCTCCGTTTTCGAGTCTTGGGTGCTTCGTGCTCCGGCTTCGTTTTCGAGTGCTTCGTTTTCGATACTACCTGCAGTTCTTGCCAGACAACTGCAATGCTTACATTCACAAGACCACCTTTTCCGCAAATACATATACCTTCGTATGGTTTTTAAAGAGAGAACTGGCAAAAACTATCCGTTGAGCTTTTTGACAATTGCATATAATTCCCCTTTCATTATTCGCTTCTCAGGCTGGTGACTGTTCTGTTCTTTGTGACCATTTTGTTTGATGAGGTAAGACCAAAAGTCATGTGTATTCATACGAAACTGAACATTGTTTGTCGTAGAAACTGAAGAGAAACTCCTTGTAGTCTAGATTTGTTTCGTTTGCTGCAAGAACAGTAAAAATGTTTTATTTTCGCTCGATTATGATATCACATGAAAAAAGTGTCTCGACTTTACAATTTCCGGTAAACAAAGTAATTACGTTCGGACCATGCTGAGAAGCCCCCTACCTGTGATTGGTTACGTTTTGACAGTTGACGTTATCGGATTAGTTGAGAAAATGGTGGACGGAATAAAAAAACACCGACTCTTATAGCAGGCGCTCCCTTCCCTTTTAATACTCCGCTTTCGCACTTTTCTCCCTCCCCCTCCCCCTCCCCGTCCACCTTTTGCGCGGGCACTTTGCTCGTGCTCTAGCCAATTCCTGTGCGCTTTACAACAGAACAAAGCACAGTCAAGGCTTTTCTACTTTTTAACTATTAACTTGTATATATTGTTGTTATACCACTTATACATTTGTGTTAGCCCTCTTAAACTTTTAGAATCAATACAAAAAAGCCTCTCGACGAGAAGAATTATCCGCTCATTGAAATGGCTTGTACTCTTTGGGGGTGACCGAGCATTTTAGTGGGAAAAATGGAACAATAAGATAGATCATTTTAGTGGGGAAACAAAAGCGTTATATGCAAAACCCGTGAGCATGGGTTTCTGTGGGAAATATTGTTTGGCCAAATTTTGCCACATGTGGGTACCCGTGTATTGAAATAGTCAAACGCTGCTAAAATGCGGCCGAATGGTACAATTGCACTCTTGCCACTGGCTTCGGGTTTACTCCCACTTGGCTCTGATTCCAGCAATCCCGAGCTTGGCTCGGTCGGCTGGTTTTCTCGTGCCGGATTAACACTGACTCAGTAGCGCCATCGACTTGAGCACGATAAAAAAGGGCAGCCGATAATTTTTATTTTTAGAGAGGACGCCTGTCCAACAAGTTCACTCCGCGTTTTAGTGGGATAAATCAGTACATTGAAAACTCAAAAAACGGCCATAAATCGGCAGGGGCACCCAACGAGAGTATATTAAAAACCAGTTAAACATAGCATTGTCAAACGTATTTTAGTATTTAAACTGGAGATATAGGCATATTTTATCCCCTGTTTGGAGGCCTAGCTGAAAGTTTAGTGATCCGAAAATTGTAGGGAACCAAACTTACCTTTTCGAAAATTTCAGCCAGAAAAAAGGCTCCCGAAAATTATAGGTCACCGTTTTCGGGCTTTTGAAGTCCGTTAAAAATGGGCAATTATACCATTTTTTAGATTTTCAAAAATCCTAGGAGAGGCAGCAAGCAAGAAATTTTACAACAAATGTTCCGAAAATTCTAGATCTCAAATCGTCTTCCGAATAGATATTTTCCAAAAATTGACGTTGGGTGCCCCTTAATCGGCCAATGGACCACACAGGAGAGATGAAACACACATTTTATGTAAGGTAAGCCGTTTCTCATTGAAATCCTATTATTTTCATAGGTTACGGAAATAATAGGTTTTTTCCCATACAAATCCTTATATTTCGAATGTTAGGCAACAATGCCGATATTTCGAGCTTGGGCTACCTGTGATCCACCTGTCTGGTCCTCATGTCCAACCGTAGGATTCCGTTGGGAAGAGGCAAATTGATAGGCGGATATTAGGGAGCTTCCCGGTTGGTACTCCCTATGATAACCTATACGGGAAGGCTCCGCCTGAAAGGGGTGTCTTTTTCAGGCTTCAGGTATATGAAAGGGTAGGGATTTCACTCGCTGAAGTATATAAAAGGGTAGGGAAATCTGTCATTTGGGTCTGTGAAAAGGCCCAAAAGGGCTAACAGATGAATTTTACTTTGTAAAGTCGAGAAAACGTTCTATTTTTGTGATTGATTCCTATTTTAAGGAGCTGTGTCACGAAATTCCGCCAAATTAGGAAATTATAAAATGCCCGCTAAATTAAGGACGGTGCCCACTATTGTTACTGCGCACATTTTCTGCGCACGCCATGGTAGTGGCGCACTACGCGAAAGAAATGCACAACACGCAGGACACGCGGACTGGTTTTGTCTCCTATAAGTCTGGGAGGTTCGAGTTATTTTTTGTGGAAAAGATGCATCGTTTTTCAACAGATGAAAAATAATTTCTATTTACCTTGTCAGTTCTTTGAAAACCGAAGAAGTATGCGCATGTTGCTATTTCTACGTATGATCGATCTGACCGAACATTTTATAGTCAAACAAAAGTCAATTCTAAAACATCAAAAGTTATTTCTTCAAGATGTTACGCCTAGAGCTTGGGTATTGAAAAATCCCTTAATATACAAGGATCAGTAAATCAAAAGGAAAATAGCTCTAAGTCCTCCGCTTAATCGAGAAACTGCAAGCTTACTTTTCACAAGCGTCCTTCGCGATTTATCGGCCAATCGGCTATAAACACTTTCCCGAATATTTCTTTAATTTTGTAAGATTTTACGTAATAATCAACCGGAAGATAGATTTAAAGCGTTCGAGTACATACAGATGTCTCTTTTACTGTGAGTCCGAGGCTTTTATTTGTTGAACAAACAAGACAAAAACTGTCACAAGATTGTTTGGATTGCTGAGATCACAGCTTCACATATAGTTGCGGACCGCAAAGGAAACGCTTTCATCGTGGACAAAATGATAAAACAACTGTTATGCTTTTTACTATTATCATTGTTATTTAAACATTTTGGCTTTACTAAGCATTGAAATTATTGACTCATTGGCAGCTTGTCGTGTAGATAGTATTTCTTAATGTTCAATTTCACGCCACACATAATCTGGACATTTAGACATAGCTGCCATTTGGCTGTTTACTAACCAAAGATGGAAGGTAAAATAAAGTGTTTCCATTCTAAGACTTTCTTATGTTTAACAGACACTGTTAAGTCTAAAATTAACGTTTAGAAACGAAAACTAGTGAATGATCATGACACAGAATACTACAGTAAAAAAATCAAAACGAAATATATAAAATAAGCCTTATAGCTCAGTACATATATGAGGGTACATAAACGCATCGGGTACAACTACTTTCACACTATTCGAGCTCATGTATGGAACTTGAGTCAAAGCAAATCATTTATGTCATATGACACTTGTGTCAAAGCCCGAAAGAGATAGCGCAAAGCACAGATATAAGCTCATTGAATGTATGCAATGCAAGTTTAATAACATATTCGATCGAGGTACTCGGTAAAATGATAAAAAAAAACGATGGAAGGTTTACAATCCATATTACATCTACAGT